AATCATTACAGACCTGGAGTCCTCTGGGAATGTCAAAGTTCTTTTATCTGTCTTCCCCTTTCCTAAACCAAAAGTGATTTATTTATCAATTAAGGAAAATGTGAACCCATGTGTTCCCATTTTATTATATAGTAATAGCTATGATAACAATAGGAGAAACCAAGGATAGACTTGTTAACAAACTTTTCTTTAATAGCAACTGTTAGTTTTAACTTTTAGGGTCCTTTAGTTATAAAGAGCTTTTTATCAAAGTTGAGCATAGTCTAGTTTCATTATATACATTAATACATTTTACATGTAAATATTTTATAAATATTTTATTCAAAGAATAAATTTGTTAGCAGTATTTAGCTTTATGCTGCTAATTACCTTCTATTACATTGAAAAGTAATATTTGCACATAATAGAAAAAACAAAGGCATAGTGCATAAAATAAAAGTCTCATACCCCTATCCTACTCTACTACTACTACTCTCAAGAACATAACCTTTTAGATTTATCTTTCCAGAAATATAAGCATCAAGTTTTTGAAAGTGTACGTTTATTTTTTCCTGAGCAATTTTCTCTATAACACTATCATAAATGGGTATTTTAGCTGATAAAGTAGATTTATTTGAATGTTAAACTTTCTTTTAGGTTTACTTTTGTATATTATATGTGTAAAAATTTTTACCAAAGAATTTGCAACGTGTAATTTATTGATAAAGAAATAAAATTGAAATCAAAATTGAAAATTATAACAAAAATAAAATTAAGTTGGTGAAACTGAAGATACAGTCATAGCCCACATAATGACTTGTTAGCCAACAATGGACTACCGAGATACGATTATGGCCCTCAAAGATTATGTAGCCTAAGCCAGGTATAGTGGTTCACACCAGTAATCGCAGCTACTTGGGAGACTGAGGCAGGAGGATCACGTGTTTGAGGGTTGTCTGACAACTTGAGTCAAACAAATCAAAAGGGGAATGGGAGGCTGGAGATGTAGCTCAGTGCTCATTGGTTTAACTAAGGGTACTATGTGTCTGTCTTAGTTTGTGTAAGTACGTTGCACACTGCTGAAATTGCGTATGCCTGTCCACTTAGCTTACTGTGCCATATTATAAAGGAGGAAATGTGGTCCCTCTACTCTGAGATGCAGGCAGTTTTAATACAACAATCTCACTGGGTGAGTGTGTGGGTGAATGAGGATACGGGGAAAGTCAGATTGAATCAGATTTCTGGCTGCTTTCTTTCTCATGGATTGACAATAGGTATTTATTCAGTTATTTTGCAAATGATAAGATGATTGATTAAAAACTATTAGAACTTTAGCTGGGTGGAATGGCACATGCCTGTAATCCAGTACTCAGGAGGCTAAGGCAGGAGGATTGCAAAAAATTCCGTGTCAGCCTGAGCTGCACATCAAGTTCAAGGCCAGCCTGAACTATAGCAAGGCCCTGTCTCAAAAAAAAAAATCTATTAGAATTTTATATAGAGTTTAGTAAAGTAGCAAAATAAAATGTAGATAGTACCTGTCAGTTTTTCTTTATGCTGGCAGTCACTAATTAGAAAGTGTGAAAATGAAATTTTGTTTTCCAATAAAATTTGATATGAAATATGTGGGAGTAGCCTTATAGAAAGAAGCACATGAATACTGTTTTAAGAAAATTATGATACTGAGAGGCCTGTAATGTTCCTCAGTGAGAATGCTGGCTAGTACAAAGATATTGATTCATCTTTAATTTATAAATTTAATGGTGCCTCTATAAAACCCTCTAGGGAAATTTTGGACTTGGACAAATTTTTAATTTGAAAAGGGAGTGATAACCTAAGAAAATTCAGGAAACAAGACTTTCATTGTGAGATATTAAGTTGTACGTAATCAGAATATTTTTGTTTCAAAAATTGTAAGCGGACCAATGGAAAGGATGGATGACTTTGAAATGAAACTTTATTATATAATAAATGTAGAACTTTCCCTAACATTACTAATGCATGGTTCTAAGACAATTGGTTTAAGTACTTAGAGAAAATTAGATGTGTGTCCTAACTTATCTCTGTAAGTTATAGATAAATACAAGAGTAAAATGCAAAAGAGTGAAGCTATTTTAGAAACTTACAAGAAATGTAGGTGATTGTCTTGGTTACTTTTCTCTGGTTGCTTGGACAAAATATCTGACACCCAAAATTTAGGAAGGAAAGGTTTATTTAGCTTACAGTTTGTGGAGGTTTTAAGCCATACTCTACTGGCTACAAGGTAGGGTGGCACATGGCAGAGGGCAACCATTCAAGGTGGCGCAACACAGCAAAAGCAAAAAGCACAAAAGGGAGGAATGGCGGCAAGCAGCCTCTTGCTCTCCCTTACATATGCAAACTATCCACCCCAGGGCAGGTGTAGCTCTCACACCCATAATCAGTCAAACTCTAAAAGCCTGCCCCATGACCACATAAGGCTTTGGGGGAACACCCAGACACAAACCATGACAGTGATGTATTTTAGCTCTTCAAATAGGGAAATACTTGTTAGCATAGAAGCAATGTAAGTACAGAAGAATAAAATCTGTCATGTTTAAACAAGATACCTGTATGTTAAAGCAATCAGAAATATAAAATTAGATGCAAAATAAAAAATTGGGGAAAATATTGGCAAACAATCATTTCTTTCTTAAAAACGTATTTCATTATTTCTAAGAAATACTAGTATTCTAAAAAAAATTGGCAAAGAATATGGATAATTCACAAAGTTTTAAGAGTTAGGAAACATGGAGGAAATAATACCTTGCTAGTAATACAAAGCAGTATTGATTAAGAGAACAATATGCCAATTTTTTTTGTAAAACAAATTTCAACAGACTTTTTTTAATAATGGAAGCTACTGAGGCCTTTTTTTAAAAGGAAGCTACCTGAAGGAGGTTACGTCCTTTCCTGTTCTGTTGCTGGAGGATGAGCTGAAATAGTATATATGTTTTAGAAAGCAATTAGGAACTTTTAAAATGTCCATACTCTGCTTTTCTACATCTAATGTTCTAGCTTAGAAAATGGCATAATCAGAATTGTCAGATGGTCTTTCAGACTCATTTCTTTGAGTATTTAATGGCTTGAGAAAACAGTATTCCTCGTTAAAAATATACAATGTAAAACTAAATGTAAAATGTAAAACTCCAATTTTGTTATAAGAAACTTTTTAGAGCTAGGTATGGTGATGCACATGCCAGCTTTGTGGGAGGCCGAGGCAGGAGGATCTCAAATCCCAGCTATCTGGACAACAAAATAAGTTTGAGACTACTCTGGGCTATATAGCAGGTCCTCATTTTAACCCCCGCATCAGAAAATAAATAGCATTTTATATGTGTAGCAAAGTATAAGAAAGAATACTGACATATAAATAACAATTGGTTATTTGTGATTTATATTTTGGTTTAAATTTGTACTTTCCATTTTTTTAACTTCAAAAAATAGTCATGTTACGTTTAAAAGATATAGTTACAAGTGCTATTTCTCAAATGTGACTAGATAAGCATATAGTAAATGGATCAAATGGAAAAGAAGGTCTGGAGTATGCAGAATAGATTCAATTTTTTTTAAAAACAATTTTATTAGCATATGTTTGCAGTACAGAATGCTTACGCTCCTCGTGTGGAATTGGTAGTTATATATTCGCATCGTAATTCCCTTTTTCTCGTCTCTTTTCTGACCCCTCTACCATCATCTCTCCATCTCTTGATCTCCTTCCCATCTGAGAAGGATCTGTCTCCTTACTTCCTATTTATTTATTGTTTTGCTTTTTTATTTGTAATTTGAGATTCTCATATAAGAGAAATCATGTGATATTTGAGCTTGTGTATCTGATTCACATTCTCAAGTTAATCTTTCTTTATGGCAGAGTAAAACTCCATTGTGTGTAATACCACATTGTCTTTATCCGTTCCTCTGTTGGTAGACATATAGGCTGCTTCCAAAAATTAGGGAAGCTTTAGCAAACCAGGGGTACCTGTGTGACTCTTAATGGTGCAGAGCCAAAGTAGGCATTTGTAATTAGAGTGTAATAGTTAATGTCTTATATTTGTAACGAGGTTTAGTATTTCATTGCGTAGTATTCCTGTGTATTATTTTAGCCTTATGAGTAGTAGTATGGATTAGATACACCAGATATTTTTTACATTTTACATATGAGAAAATTTTCAGAAAAATTTTTTACAAAGTTGCATGAAATTCCATCTAGCCACAGAACGATAGTTCTGGAGGCATAGTATTATAGTGCCAGAGTAGTGAGGTAATTTACCAATTTGGAGTCTAGATTTGTAAATTTATAGTGAAAATTGTTTATAATAATATGCAAAAACATTCTGTCTTACTTCTAAAACCTAAGGCATAATTTAAACAAGTAATATTTTTTTTAAACAAGTGATATTTTATAGATTGGTTACTTTGCTTTAAATTTAATTTTGGTCATTGACTTATGGCATATATTTTAACTCTTTGGAAATGTGATATAATCTGTGAACCCTTGCCTCAGAAAAATGCAGTTTGTACATGATCACACAAGATTTTGCACTGATTTTTATCCATTTTCGCTGTAGGAGCCTCTTGATCACAAGTTCAGAACCTCCGAGTTAGAATCCTTCTAGATGCAAATTGAGGAAGAAAAAAAATAGAAGGAATTCTAGGTCTTAATTTGTGATTGTCTTAAGGAAAGTCTATTGTTGACTTTGTAGCAGACTTTATACTTAAGCATTAAAACTGCTAAGTTTCAAAGGTGTTCACTTTAGAGTTGTTATATTGACAGCTATTTTCTTTGGCCTTGGTGTCCATGATCCTTGCAGCAAATTATTTACTTACTGAATGCTATTTCCTATTATCCTTAAATATCCTAGTGTATTTTACAGTAGAGAGTATTTTATTTGCATCGCAAATCTTGAGTAGCTTCATTTATGAACTCCCATATGTATGTGAGTGTTTAAAGGTTTGATTTTAGAAAGTTATTTTTTCATTTAAAAATAATACTTATTTTTCAACAGGAAAATCTCATGTATACTGCTGATCCAGAATCCTTTGAAGTAAATACAAAAGATATGGATAGTACGCTGAGTAGAGCATCTAGAGCAATAAAAAAGACTTCAAAAAAGGTGAGTTTTAGTGAAATTATTTGATATATTTCTAAAATGTTTTTTTCAAATTATGTTATCATATTGCTATACCAGTATAAAGACAGTCTTTACAACAAAGCTGTTTTTTGTTTCTAGGAAATGAGCAATAGTTGTAGTTTAGTGACTTCTTTGTCACAGTAATTATACCTTACTATCTGTCCCATTCTTATAGTGATAGTGAGTGAGGCTGCATTGGAAATGTATTGTTGGTATTTGAGAGCTAGATCTATGTGTATTCATCATTTTTCATCAAAGTGCACATGAATACTCTATTTCCCCCAAAATAAAATTGTGCCTTATATTAATTTTTGCTCCCCTTATTTTCAGGGGATGTCTTATTTTTGCATGTGTAACAATCTACATTTATTCATGTACAAAAATCTGTATTCAGATACAGTCATGTTGTCTTCATCTGGAACATCGTCATAACTCCAATCCCTGAATTCTGGCCTGCGTTTCTCATGATTCCGTTTCCTATAGAACCATTGTCCCCAATCTCTCATCTCCAGCAATAGAGCTCTCCGAGCACTTCTTGTCCATGTAGTGCTTGTAGTACACTGGCAACGCAGCTGTCAGTGATTTTATTCTATGAATTCCTCACTCAAGTCACAAACTCTTTGAGGCTAGGATTCACAGAGTTTCCAGTAAATTAAGTGTTAACTGAAGACTTACAAGAAGGAGTGGCAACATAAATGATGGTAGCTAAGAGTGATGACTCACACAAAAGTGACAAAAAATTGCAGGCACCAAGATTGAGAAAACAGCCAGGGATATAGCGCAGTGGCACAGCATCTGTTTGGCAAGTGAAATGTCCTGAGTTTGATTCCCAGTACCAAAAAAAAGAATAATTCAGAAGTTTCTTCATTTTACACAAGTGCCTTGAGTGCATCCATTATAACACACAGCATATTGAATTAAGTATTAATATCAATAGTATTTATTTTATATTTAATTATATGTTGATATTTTATGATTCAATCCATCTGTTATGTGTTTATTTTATAATTCAATACATGTTATGTATTGCGATGGACACATTAACTGTGTGTGTCCATCTGGTTGACAGTTTTAATGGAAGGCTTATTTTGGGTGTAGGACTTTTTCAGGTAGCATCCTGAAAAAAAAAATCACACTAGGGCTTATTTTTCAGTTAGTGGAAATACGGTTAAGTCCAGAGACGCAGGATCAGTTCCTGACTCTGGAAATGATTCAGTCTTCACATGATGATGATTTCCTTACGAATCTCATGGAAGTTGTGGAGCACTACATAAGTATGTTGATATAAGGCTTTTTAAAGTAGAAGTGCAGTTTAGTGTTCCAGAGGAAATCTTCAGCCATAATGGTTTTACACATTTAGTTTTGTTTCCTTTCCCCTTTCAAGGTAGGATTTATACTATTTTTATGTCTCCCGTCATTTAACATGGTATGATACATAGTAGATAGACATGTTAAATGATGATTTAAAGGAACTCTTTCACTCTTCCAGTAAGAAAATTGACATTCAAGTGGTTTTGGATTAAGCATTTCAAAACTAGACTGTGGCAGGATCAGATGAGAACCTAGGTTTCTTGTCTCTCAGGCTGTTTTCCTTCTGCCTTTTTCCCCATTGAACTTTAGTGCTTTCTAAATGCAGGATAGGGTAATATACAGTCTACAATTATATTTTGTCACTGCTTTATGCGAAAGAAAATCCTGCCACATATTATTTAAATAAAGTAGTATATTTGGCTTTCTTTATGCACATTCTTCTTAACCACATTAAATTTGTCTAGGTTTAAATAATTATACCCCTTTTTAATTCTAGGTTACAAGAGCATTCTCTTTCTCCAAAACTCCGAAACGAGCTCTGCGGATGGCTCTCATGCCATCGCATAGCTCAGTGGAGGGACGGAGTCCTCCCAGCAGTGATAAGCATGCAGTGAGTCGCCTTTCTAGCACATCCTCATTAGCAGTAAGTGGTTTTGATTTAACGGGCTAAAAGACTTTATGGAGTTGGTATTCAATTTAACTTTTTAAAAATAGAAATAAATATTAATATCTCCCATCTTTTGGGGGGAGAGCTGTATCTTAAAACATCTAGCCTCTTTTATTTACAAAAGCAACTGGTAAAACTTACTTACATTTAATGATTCAAGATATTTATTTGAAAAGAAATTTACTGAGATTGAGCTATGTTCTGAGATACATAAGAAACATTTCAGTCTGGCTTGTTATTTTACTAATACAAACACTGTGGTTTTGTTTTATACAAGTAGGACCCAATAACAGCAGAGACTAAGTCTTATTCCTTTTATTATTTCTCTGAGTAGTAAAATATAATCTGTGAAACAGAGTTTTAGAGGAAGATGTGGATTCAAATATTCTATGTATATTTAAGTATTTCTTGAACCATCTAAATTTAAGTGTCAGCACTATTAGGTAAGGACAGTTCTACCATGTATCATTAAGTACATGATGGTATACCTGTTAATTAAATATCAACCTCTGTTAAAGTCACACATAATATATAGCGTGTTATATGTTAAGACAGTTTGAGTAAGTGGTTAAGAGCATAAACTCCTTAGGTGTCAAAGCTTTGCTATTTACTGAGTATGACTTTTGGCAAGATATTAAAGGTCTCTGTTCCACTTTTGCTGTCTTTAAAACGAGTTTGTTTTATTGTAAACACTGTCTTTCAAATGAAGGTAAATAGATTTTATGGAAAAGTTTTAGAAAATTTATATTATTTATATCACTTTTATATAGACATTATACATAAGTATCTAAAGTATTTGGAAGACATTCAAATCCTTTTCTCATTTGCTTGTTTCTGTCCTAACAGATTACCCAGTCTGTTTCCATAACTCATAAAATTGAATTTATTAAACATATTTGTGTTCAGTCTCAAACTCTATTGGTGGGCACTCTCAGTAGTTTTTTTTAAAGATAGCTAGAAGGAAATAATTGATTTTTCAAATTTCAAAGAAAGTTCTCAAATTATCTTTGACTTTTCTGAAGAACTAGGAGATATAGTATGTCAAGCAATAATGGAAATAAGCCTTGTAAAGATTAATGTGTGCTTATTAACTATTTCCAATTTGCATTTGAATAAAAAGAAAATATTCCTCACTGAGTCACTTACTGGGTGGGTTGGGACTTTTGAATTCACAACTTTATTACTGTTTTGGAGTCACAGTAGTTTAGGTTTAATAGAGTTTCTTTGTATATTGCCAAATAAAAGTATTTTTCTGTGAAAATTTTCTCTTAAGTCTAGAAAATAGTAAGTTCCATTAGAAATTTTCTTAGGAAAATGATCATTTAAAGAAATTGTTATGAAAAGTAGATTTATATTCCAAATATGATTCTTAATCTTAGATTTATGAAATTTTTATAAAATATAATTTTAATATGGCAAGTCATAAAAGTTCCACTGAGGAAAACTTAAACTTTTTATCTGCTGAAATTATTCTTGTGTTATCACTTGAATGGTAATACTTTAATAGTTACCTCTTCAAAAAAACACCAATTATCTCATTAATTCTATCAGTCCCTGTCTCTTTAACACAAGGATTCTTTTTTTTTCTTTGAGATGGATCTCCCTCAATTGCCTAGGCCAGCTTCAAATTTAAGATCCAGTACTGCACTCAAACGATCTTGTCTATGTTATTATTTTCCTTCCTCATTGATATTAACTTACAACTACCTCCATTGTCCACTTTAAGTTTAGTTACAGTTAGCTATTCATATAGGTTAAAATAAAGCAGTAGTCTATAATCTTCATTTATATCACTTCTTGGGTTTTTAAATTCTTGTGCATATTTCTTTGTTATAGTTAAAAGTTCTGATGTTTAACTTTGACCTCTAAAACACGAAGGTTAGATAGTTTAGTAATTTAATGATCACTGTTGAGCAATGGTTTTGCTCAAATTTCATATGGAGTAAATTTTATATACATGTTTATATTACATATATAATTTTATATATAAACACATCTGCACATATTTATATGAATTGCACATAGGATGCAAATATTCTTTGGAAGTATATGACTTAATTTTGGAAAATTATGATTTTACCCTTCCTAATTTGGCCTTATGAATTAAGCCATTGTTATTAATAATTTTTTTATCTCAAAAACTTGTTTACCCAATTATTTTTCCTTTTATTATCTGCAACACTGAACCATTAATATCTCACAGAAGATAGTTAGGCTACTAAGCCAATATCTGTTCTAGCTGAGTTCATATCTAGTTGACTATAGTATTCATTTAGTTTTTGTTTGAGAATGCTAAAATCATTTATGTTTTATCCCAGTTCTCTTCTAATTTTCAGTTTCTTCCATTTAGAGTGTTTAAAATTGTCAGATGTCTTCTTATTTATTGTTATGATAATTTGTAAAATGTAAAAGTGACAGGCATGATACTGAACTGTATGTTACAATTTTTTAAAATTAAACTTTAAAATATTTATCTTCTCTTTACAGGGTATCCCATCTCCTTCCCTTGTCAGCCTTCCTTCCTTCTTTGAAAGACGAAGTCACACTTTAAGTAGATCGACAACTCATTTGATATAACACTTTAAGAAACTGACTTAGAAGGTTCTTATAATAGTACTGGTGAAAGCTGAAAAGAAGCTAGGTAACACTAAACTATGCCACTTGATTTTCTTCTTGAAAGACTAAGGTTTACCCCTGACATTGTTCAAGTTATTTTGTGTAAAAATTATATTGATTTTGATGTAATTTATCTCTTTGCTTATCTCTCTCCTCTGAAGACCAGAACTTAAGTTATTCATGTTCCAGTAGCTTTGTAAGCCATTATATAGTAAATAAATTTTATTGGTGAGTGCCAATTACTACTGTCAATCTGTTTATATGGTATTCATGAATGAATTTATAGAAGTACGTTTGTGTATCTCAATTTGTGCAGAGATTAAATGATATTACAATAATTATTTGAAAAAATTTGATTATATTTCTGATTAAACAGTAGGGCACTGTTTCACCTGTACCTTTTGATGTACTTAACTGCTTTTTAATGTTTATTTTCTTTTCAAATAGTTTCAAGATCTTGAATGTGGATTAAAAAGATCTATGTTTATTAATATGAAGATTGGTTCAAAATAATTTTGCAAATTAAGAAAAGTAAAGAAAGCTTAAAAATCATTGTATATATTGCAAAAGCAAGACATAGGTATAAACAGATAATATAGTTCTGGTGATTTTAGCCACTAGCAAATTTTGATTTACTTGGACATCATATTGAATTTTACTTTAAAGAGTAGAACCATGGAAGGAAGAATTATGGTAAAGATTGTTTATACTCTGTACAAGGTTGCCATCAGCTTTGATATCTGCTGTGTAAAGCATAGATATGTGTATGGTCAACTTTATATTTTGGCCTATAATTAGGTGTAAAATTGAACATTTTCTTTTGTAAAATATTCTTCAGAGTCTGATGTTATCTTTCAGTTTTCTTTATAGTCCGTATCAATAATACAAAAATAATCAAGTTCTTATGAATAAATACATTTTTATTTTGTACTGTTTAGGGAGTACTGCAGAAGTCTCACTGTTACTTTAACAAGTTTCAATTAGTAGCTTTAATGGCTTAACTGACTGTAGATTTTTTTCTGTTCCACATATGTGCCAGTTCATAGTAATTGATTCTTTTTCCTATATTTTAAAGGTAGTTATATTAATAAGAATTTTGTAAATAAACAACTTCAAACCAATTGTACTTTGTGTTGTCCTACATAATTCCTTCAAACAAATTTATATGGACAAGAGTACCTCATCAGCCTCTGCTCTATTTTGTATTTAGCTTGCTCACTTACTTATTCCTTCCTCCATTAATACTTTTGAGCATTTATATGTTTATATGCATTTCTGGCAGAAAACGCATAACCTTTATCATTTTATTGTGGAAGCATGAATTTCCCCCGGAAGGGTGGGGGTTTTCAGAAACAAGAAATGACATGATTTACACTATTAAGCTAGAAAAGTATTGAGTGTTCACTGGCAAGATATATCTGGTGGTTAATTTTAACTTTAAATTTCCTCCTTGTCCATTTGCATGTGTTGAGATTGAGTCGTGTATGGCTGCTAAATAAAAATTGTTCTCCATTGAGAATATCATATATGTTTCATGAGTGCATATATATGAGCCTTTTGAATGGCTTTAAGATTTTTATCCCATCAGATATTATTCTTCCAAGAATACAAGGGTGGCTTAATGTCAAGAAATGTATTAATTCATAAGACTTACGTTACAACTTAAAGGAGAACGACATATGATTTATCAATAAGTTGCAAAAGTTGGATTAGTAAAACTTAGGCACTAAATAAAAATTCTAAGGACATTTGCAATAGGACTAAGTAACTACATTCTAAATGGATGTCTTAAAACATCAAGCATTTCTTTGTGAAATAATAAAAATAATTTTAATCTCTAATTAAGATTAGCATCAGTATGGAAACATTCAGGTATGAGAAATTGAGAACTCAAAGCCAAACTGGTCAGTTTAGACTGATACTGAGAGCAGAAGGGATTTAAAACCAAGATGTAGGCCAAAGGGTACCGGAAAGTTGCTCTCTGACTCATTTTGTTGCAGGCATAGGTGATGGTACCGTGGAATCATGGATTGTTATGGAAATGGTGCTTTGCGACTACAGATTATTATATTTGTGATTATAATTTATACACTCTAGATCTTAAAATGTAAAAAAAAAGTGATCTGTTAAAAATAACTTAGAGCATATGAGACAGTCTACAAAAATAAAAGGCTGGTTGAAGATAACAAACAAAATAGGAAGTGAGGCCTTAAGCAGACAAAGCAAATAGAATCTACTCCAAGAAGTGAAATATGAATTGATCAAAAAGACACCTTAATATATTTATAGGGAAAAGCTCACACTAAATAATATGAAAGGCTTGAGTTGAAAAAACTTATATTGAACTTTTTAGAAATAAGCTGAGAACATTTGAGAAAATTATCTGGGTCTCATAGGCAGAGTTGAAAAGTACTAAACCATGTTTTAAGAGAGATAAAAAATGGAATGTTATCCAGTATCTGTAAGAAGATATCTGGAGAGAAAAGTGAGAGTAATGAGAGTAGAAAATGATATTTGAAGAAATAATCGCTTAACATTTTCTAAATGATAGGAAAATATGAAACAAAATTAGGCATACCCATCATCTACAGAGTAGTATCAATTAAAAGTCCTCACTGAGAAAACCTAATGACAAAGTCTAGGGGAAAAATAGAGTCTAGCATGTTTATGAATAGATTTAATATCCAGCAGATGTAATTTTCTTCAAATTAACATATAAGTCCAGCCAAAACCTTAGCGTATTTTGTGTGATATTTAATACAATGAAGTTTTTATAAACAAAATTTTTAAAGTTAAAAACTGGGAGAAAAATATATACAACAAAGAATTTGTATTTAGAGGAGGACTCTAAGAACTAATCTTCAAAAGACAACAGAAAGATTGCTATAAGATATAGTTTACAAAAAATGGAAACTGAGCCTTATAAATGTAAGATGGTCAACCATTAAAATTACACTAACCATTTTAAATGCATCATTAGAAGAAATGTAGTTAATATTTTTGCTGGTGAAGCTGTGGGATAAAGTATTCATATTTCTGGTATTAATGTAAAATGACTACCTCTGTCAAGGAAAGCCTATTAATACCTACCAAACTTAGATATATTTGTGAGTTGCTGTATGTACTAATTTTTTTTTCTCCAAACTATGCTCACAAAAATAAAATGACCCGTGTGTACATAAGCTTCATTGCCACATCTCTGTAGCAAAACACTTTAATGTTCACTAATAGCAGATGGGTGCATAAGAATCCACCCATACAATGGAGTACTTTGCAGTTGTGAAAGCAAATATGTATGTAGTATTTGTGTTATATACATATGTATAGAGAGATTTTCATAATATATTTAGAAGGGATGTAGAGCAGTAATTACTGTATGCCTTGTGTTTTAGAAAGGAAATTTGTATTACATATGGTACTATCAGATTTGAAGATTAGCCTATTGTAAGACCTGAAGATATTTCAACTAATTTAGCTGAACCTGCACTTGCCCTTTAGCAAAGATAAAATTTGCCTGCTTATATTTGAGGAAAACCCCAAGGAAATGGTAACTTGTTCTAGGACGTCAAGGAAGAGCATATACGGAACAGAAGAAGTATGAACGGATGTTGATAGAACTTGGGAGAAAGAGTCAAAATGATTCATGTGAGAAGGTTCTGGAATCTTGAGTTTCAGTAAACTATATTGGCTTACTTTGAGAAGCCATTTTTGAGAGGGTGTTTTATTTTGAGGCTTAGTCATCAAACAAACATGACCATTGAATATTTTCTCTCCTTTTTAAGAATTCTTAAATATTGTTGGCATTTTATTTTAAAAGTTCCATTATACTTTTTGTGAGTCTTAAAAATTATAAAAATTACAGAACTATAGTGAGAAAAAGTACAAGTGTAGGAACAGGTCTGTAGAAGAGAAAATAAACCCTTGGGTCTTTAGCTAATCCTTACTAGAAAGAGTTAAAGGCAAACTACTAGAGAGATTCCCTGGGAAGCAAGTCAAAGATGGATAGGAAAAAAAAAATCATAAAAACGCCACAAAGATACAATGTCCTTGGGACTTGGGCTGAGACCAAAGAGCTGACAGGCAGGACACGGAGAGCAAGTTAGGTGCACAAATGATAACCTGCCTCCACCTCCAATAAAATATAGGGGAAGCAACTTAGCTGAAGATAACGGCATGTAATATAGCAACCATTGTGAATTTCTATTATTTTGTCTTGAGGTCATGTATCATTTTTGATGTTTTTGTGTTGTTTTGATTTTGTCTTCATTGTTTTGTCAGGGTTTTTTTTTAATTTTTAAAATAAAATTTTTTTTTAAAATATAGGGGAAGCAAGGGTGCTGACTTTTAAGGCTTATGTACTCACACCTGTGCACTAACATATACACATGTGCTACATGTGTATTCACTCTAGAGTCATTATATTATTTACTCTAGCGTCATTATAGAGTACAATAGCCCACATACCCTCTTGCTAACTCTAGAATAACCAAGAATGAGGCACCTCCTTGCCAACTAACCGCCTGCCCCAAAGATAGGGCCTTAAAAGGTAGATCAAAGACAGTAAACAAACAAACAAAAAGCTGCGCATAGACCACCAGAAGCCAATCCAGGTACGGGAAGTTCCAGATGGAGGGGAAATCGTCACTCACCAGTCCCTCCTAGAAAAACAGCTGAGAACAAAGGGCCCAGGGGTCCTCCATCTTTCCCGAGCCCCCTACTCTGATTCTTATCAGAGTAGCTCTGTACCTTCTTTCTCCCTACTTTTTACAAATAAAAGTGTCTTCGTTAAACTTTGTCCCTCTAATTCATTCCTGGGGCTGAGCTACCGTCTTGGTGGGCTGCCTGGCCAACAGAGTGGTAGTGCTTGTCTCCCAGGTGCAGCAGCGGGGACACTGGAGGAGGGTGCAGCTTTGCTGTAGAAAAGTCTATGATATCAAATAGCTGCTTCCATTGATCAAAAATGTGTGTTTGTAAATGTCTCAAGTTCCTGCCCAAGCAGAGCCTACAAAGATGTCATCATGGCCTAATAATTGTGTACCCTGGAATGTGTACTACACAAAATAATTCATACTTGCTAAGACAAGGAACATCCTTACAAAAGCTTTGGTTGGGTACATAAGGCTCTAACATGAATAATCCTTACTTTTTTTCCATGAAGGATAGTATAGTTTGCAACTAAGTAGTTTTTATCAGTGTATTTTCTGCTTGTAAAATTTGTGGAGTTCAAAATCTTTATTTTTGTCTTCTCTTCATTTAGACCAAGCTGTGGTTCTGTAAGTATGTTTTCAAAATCCTTGTGAGTGCACATGTCACACAATTCACTCCATTTAAACATGAAATCTTTCACATGTCTTACGTTCCTGTCTGCTGTTGACATGGCTAAATCACAAGTCTAATCTCTTTAACAGAAATTTTGGAAGCTTTTAGCAGAGCCCTCTATGTTGGTTGTTGGTTGTTGATTATTGTTATGAGTTAGGTCTAAGTGACTCCTGTCTTACTTACTTTTCTCTCATTTCTGAGACAAAAATACCCAACACCCAAAGTTAAAGCGGGGAAAGGTTTATTTAGTTCAGTTTGTAGAGGCTGCAGTCCACAATTGCCTGGCTCCAAGGCAGGGTGGTGTGGCTGGCAGGCATTGCAGAGGAGAAACAGTTCATGGTGGGAAGAAGGTAGCAAAGGCAACAAGAGAAGAGCACAGCCCTTTCTATCTCTCAGGCTACTTAGAGAGGGTGGCACTCACAACGTTAATCCTGGTGCCCTTGAGCCTAGGATTGCCCAGTGTCAATCCCAGTGTCACACATTCTAGATCCGACCACCTCTGACTGCATGAGGGTTTGGGGGGACATCTAGACACAAGCCATAACAACCCCCAAAGCCTCAGATATTAAGAAAGTGATTAGGTTATGGGGCACTATAGCTGGCTTGCTGTTAGGAAGTGGGTCTAGTCAGAAGAGGCAGTCATCGTGGGTATGACCTGGAAGGGGTATCTCCCTTGCAGGCTCCTTCCTTTGCTCTTGCTTCCTGCCCACCATGTGGTAAACAGCTTTCCTCTGTCAGACCCTTTCATCATGCCTGCCTTCCTTGCAGCTGGTCAACTAAAGACTAAAAGCATGAACCAAAATAAAC